CCAGAGAATGACTGCTATTTCTTCAGGTGTGCTACCAGGTAATACATCTTCTTGGCATCTACCAAGAAAGGCCAGACATACGTTCCCTTTACGTTTTCTTTGATCTTTCACAGTTGAGAGGTGCTCGTGAAGAGCAACCCTTCACCAGTCACCGATGGGATCAAAGCCTGGGGCCCGAAGTGCATGCGATAAACATCAGGTTTTGGAGTGGGGCAGGAGGTCAGACCTTTCTTTAGTCAAATTTTGGAACCTCCAAGGAAGCCAGCGTGGCATTCAGAAAGGGACTGGTTCCCCTGGAAAAGAGTGTTAGTGTCCTAACATGTCCCCCTCTGTGCTGCCATGGGCTCTCTACGGAAAGCCCATGCTGCAGTATTAAGCGTGATAGTTTGGGGGATTCAAATCTGTCGCTGCTCTTCATCTTTACCAGGTCACAGGCAGGACCTGTAAATTCTGATTCACAAATGTGTGTGATTTATAAATCACTGTGGGCCTTTCTGAAAAGGAAATGCCCTCACCCCCACACAGGGATCTGTACAAATGAAACTGCCACTACATGCAGGTCATCTCTGCAAAGATCCATTTTAGACCCAGCTGAAACACCTCCTGGTGGACGTGTCAAACTAATGCTGTAGCGACTCCACTTCGGGACCGAGACCTGGTCATTATGTCCTCGTTAGCTGGGGCTGGCACTGCTGTGGCCACCATGAGTGATCTGTGGTGCGGGCAGTAAGGAGGCTCCTGGGCTAGGTTTCACCCGCTGCCAGGCTGGAGGCAATGGGCTGGCTGCTCTGGAGACCTGATGCAGACACCTGCAGGGAGCGCGGGGAGATGCCCAATGCACCTGGGGACTGAGGGCCAGAAGCCTCGGGGGAGAGCGGAGCTGGGCAATACCCGTAACGGTGACACTGAGCAGATCCAGGGTGGCAGTAGGTGCCAGGAGCACCTGGTAGATGGCATAGTACAGACCTACAGCTTAGGAAAGGGGACAGGCCACTCTTTTGCAATGATCTCCCGTGCAAGCGCGTTGCCGAGCATGTTGCTGGAAGGTCAGTCCAGAGACGCACATTTGCCAGCTGCCACCTGATGATGTGGGATGGTTTGGCCCCTGTGCTCCTGCCCTGCCCTGATTTGGTCCGGGCACCTTCCTGTGCTGCTCCTGGCAGTAGGAGTTTGAAGGATGAGTCTCACTTTCTTCCTCAGATGCTGCTAAGGGCAGGGCCCTGCAGCGGGTCTCTGGTGAGTCATCTCTCAGAAGGAAAAAAAGGCTTTACCGCATTGTCTGCAGGAGATGCTGGACGCTGCTCAGACTCAGGAATATTTTAGCAATGCCAGGACAGGCCAGCGGCCCTTTCTTCCTGCCTGGGCATGGCCACGCAGTTACCAGTCTCCAGGCTGTGGCTCTAATGGCAAAATGCCCTGCCCACACCGGTTTTAATGGTGCACTTGAAGAAGGGAGCAGCTACCGCAGTTTCTGTGCAAGTCTGATCTGGGAAGAGATGTTGAGTACAATGCTGGCACACGGTTACTGCAGGGCTCACTGCAGGGAGACCATCTCAGCAACCTCCTCACCTGTTTCGTGGCCTCTCCAACAGCTCCTCCAGAGCTGCTCCTGGGCAGTGCAATGCTCCCCGCAAGGAGCCATCCTAGAGGAGCAAGGCAGGCTCAAACACAGGGTGCCAAATGTGTGCAGATGTCCCCAGAGTAGCTGGTGTGGCTGAGAGCCAGCACGTAGCAGTAAATCTGGGGGGGGATGGCTGGTGGATCTTCAGCTCTGGCTGAAGCAGCGAGAGCCTGTGGATATCAGCAGTCCTGGATCCCCCCCTTTCTCTCAGCACTGTCCCTAACGGGCTGGAGATACCGCCTGAGCAGGGTCTACGGCTGGGACCCTGCAGCAAGTAGGGGACGACTGTGCCTGGGTATGGCAGTGGGTGGACACACACTTACCCACCCGGCATCCCTCAGTGCCAGCCTGTCCGTTGCGGCTGTCAGCCAGCGCCGGCTTGTGCCCCTGTGCACCTACCCGGCAGCTCAGTCGTTAGGAGATGGGAACTGAATCCATTTAAGAGTCTCTCCTTTAGGTAAAAGAGATCAATAAAAGAGAAGTGGTAAGGGCGCAAAAGCAAGACCTCAGGAAGGCTGTAACTCTGCTTTAAGAGATGCTAAGTAGAAAGGCACAGATAGTGCATAAAGTAAGAGCTGTTCATTTTCTCCCATAATATCACATAACTGCCTCCAGAATGATAAATGGCTTTTATCTATCCCATATCTGAGATAAGGTTTCCTTAAAAATTACCATAGTTATTGGAATCTTTTCTTGCAGAAGATGTATTTGCTACAGCCTGAATTGTTCCTGACACTACCTGGCAATCCTGAGCAAGAGATTAGCTGAGGGTTTACTAAACTCTATGTCTTAAGCAAAAAAGGACCAGGATGGACCTCCACTCCATTTCTGTAATTTACATATACATCACCATTTTTTCTTCAGGGCAATAAATGATGGAAGATGTGCATCCCTTTGGAATTTTAACATCTGAAAGAGATCACGTAATTTAATTTTTAACCTCTATCTATTGGTTTCTTAAACAAATGATAATAAGCTACTAGGCTAGTTACTTTAAGAGTAATCAGGAGGAAAAACCTGTGCAGTGCTAGAGCCTGTATTTTTATGCTTTATTAATAAATCAAGACTCACAGCTGGGCCTTTGCCACCTCATTATTTGAAAAATGGGAGCTGAGCCATTCTGTGGTGCAGTAAGCGTGATTGTTCCAACAAGCTAGATATTGGTTTAGGAAATCCTGGCACCCTCTCGCATTTTAATGAATCTCCTCATGGCCCTGCATTGTTAAACAACCTCGGTAGATAATGTAGGAGGGTTTGCAGCAAGCATGGCTGCCACAGAGAAAGCATTTCCTAGCCATTTTCAGAGGTCGTGGTTCCCTTGGGTTGTGTATTAACCTGGCTGAGGGACGGCAATATGTGGCTTGGCCCTGTGCAAAGCGCTTTGCCTAATGTCTTGGACATGGGGAATCCAACACAGCAACAGTACGTCATCTTGATTTTGAGCGCCGCAGAGCTGAGGAGGTGGTGGGCCCCCACAGGACCCTGCTCTGGGTGACTGCAAAGCCCCTCGCCCCCCGGTCCAGGTGGGATGTGCAGGAGCAGAAACAGAAGCTACATTTATACCAGAAAATAAAGCGGTGCCAGGAGGTATTCCCCAGCCTCGAGGCAAACTGGCAAAGATGGCCCGGCCATGTCCATTTACTGAACTCTTTCAGCTTCCCAAACAAGGTGGCTGCATCCAAGCTGTCCTTGGCTTGGGCTAACTCCCCAGCTGTGCCTAAGAATCGTCTGGGAGAACCCTGGATGGCCTGAGCCAAAATTGTGCCAGATAGATAGCCGTTCCCAGAGCCTGTGCATGCTGCCTGCCACTGCTCAATTTATTAGCACAGGCACAGCTGGGATCAACACCCAGTCAGTACTCCTGGTCCGGCTGCTCTTTCTTCCCTAAACGAGGGATTTGGTGTGCAGAAGCCCATGTTAAGTCCTCTTAGAATTAAACTCCACTTCAGAAAATCCAAGTGTAACTAAAGAAGTAGATGGATTTGTTTTTAAAAGGAAAATAAAATGGGGAGGCAGTAAATCAGAGAGTCCATACAACACAAGGCACTGTCAGCGTGACTGAAAGGCAGTAGATTGAAAATCAGCATGCGTTTGTTAAAAAAGAAAGGGTTTGACATTCAGCCACAAGTTAAAATTTCAAACGTGATTTGGAAGACTGATACAAACCTGAACGCACAAGGACACAGAGCTGGCTTTCTCTGAAGAGATTAAAATCTCTCCCATTTCCACCAGCCCCTCACCACCCTAGTCCTTCACCATCGAAGCAGGGAGAGAGTTTTTTCCTGCCTCTTCCCACAGCAGCCCGAGGTCTGGGGCCTCTGTGGCCAGCACGGATGCTCAAAGTCAGATTCGCTGCAGCAGTTTCAAGCCCCACGACGGTCTCTGCAGGTCCCAGTGGGGAAGCGGGTGCTGGGGCCAGGGCAGGTGGCTCCCCGCAGCCCCCGGGGGTCACCCGCCTGCTGGCCTCTTCCGGGAGAAAGGGAGCTGACCCAAAGGGCTGAAGCAGTTTCTGCCGAGGAGAGCGGTCCCTGCCCGCCCTGGGGCAGTGGGAGCCCTCAGAGAGGTGGGACAGGAGAAAAACAGATGCCTCGCTCCGGGGCGAAGCCTGGGGAAGGTGAGGGGAATGGCTCGAGCCACTGGTGAGGCAAAGCAGTGCCTCTGGGAGAAAGCTGACTCGCCTGGCTGGAAGGAAGAGCTCCTACTCTTTTTTTTCCCCTCTGGCTGCTTGCCGAGATCCTGTGGGCATGTTGGGTTCAGCGCAGGGCCCTGCTCTGGGAAGGAGGGGATGAGGGAGCTGAGGCAGCGGAGAGGGTGAAAAAGTAAAGGAGGGTGTGAAAGGAGAGAGGGGAATGCCAGGATTACAAGAGAAAGAACAACACGGGGACAGAGAGAAAGGGACTTGTTAAAAACAACGCTGGGCTGAGGCACACCAAGGGGAGGAACACTGAGCCCTGCAGAGGTCAGAAACCAAAGGCAGTTACAAAGGCTGTATATCAAAGACATGGAAGTGGTGTCATCTTGTATTTTAATCCAAAGTTTAATGTAAAAATTCTTTTAAAGAGAAGAAAAAAACCAACCTGCTATATATTTTTGAGCTCCCCCTATTCCTTAGCTCCTCAGGGAACGGTCAAGGCTGGCTCCTGGGAGTGCACTGCAGACAACCCATATACCAGCCTGCAGCGCCCCAGCACGCCCACAAACCAGGGCATCTGCCTCCGCCGCCACCTCCGCCAGCATCGGTGCGGACCCGGGGTCTGGCCTGCTCGTGTCAGGGAGAGGCGGCCAGGCCAGGGAGGTGTTGAGGAGGTAGCAGGTATCCAGGCCCAGCGCTGGAGAAGGCACGCAGCAGAACATTCAACTAAAACCCAAAACAAACGAACAAAAAAGACCAGGTTTCATTTTCAGCTCTTTTAAATAAGTATCTCACTAGATGAAAAACCATTTGTAACAGCCATCGCAAGAGTAATTTAAAACAAGCCGTTCTTTGAGCAGATGAACTAGGGAAGCCCTGTCTTCTGTGGCTGAAGCCTCCGGAGGGTGAGGAGGGGGAGTGCTGGTGGCAGCTTTTCCTGCAGCTGAGTCTCTCTGTCCCACCGTCACCTGTGTGAGAAGTGCTGAACTTGCTTCCTGCAGCCAGACTGCCCTATAGAGCCAAAGTCAGAGCACTCGGAATCTGTTCAACGAAATAGGTAAGAATTTAGTTTGGTGGCGATTTCTGCCTCTGCCAAATTCAGCTGCAATTTGCCAGTGGGTTGAAGAACGTACTGTTCTTGCCTAAAATTTGTTCCATAGGAAAGAAGGCAAAAGTAAAGGTGCAAATCAAAGACGATCGCTTTACAGAGAAGTAACACCTGACCCTTCCTGAGAAAAGCACCTCCTCACGAGCACTCTTCTGCCCGAGGGTCTGTGCAGCTCAGCGAGCAGAGCTTGCCGGGGCAGCCCCAGAGGGATGCCCTCTGTGCCGGCACGCTCAGGCATGGGGCAGCACGGGAAAGCCGTGCTGTTAACCACCCCAGACAAACCTTTACAGAAACCTCTGTCCTCTGAGACAGTGTACCCACTGGCAAATATATTGCTACACAAATCTGCACCATGTATCTTCTCCTAGTGCCAGTTCTTTTGACAACATATAAAAATAAAAGCCAGTCCATTTTGTTAGCAGTCACTGTGTGCATATTTAGCAACTTTAGCCAGTGACGCCAAAGTCCTCTTCGATAACGCTACAGGGCCAGATGGCTCACAGTCACACATCATAAATTCCTTTCTGATATTTCCATCTTGTATTTACCCAGCTCAGTGTGTAACAGCTACTGGCGTTGAAGGCTTCCTTTTTCAGAAACATCTGTGGTTTCGATAAGTCTTTGTAGGTATGGAAAAGCCTGAAGTCCTTCAGCTCCAGTTCTCGGAGCAGACTGTACCAGTACCGCACCACGGTGCTGTCGTTGCCGCTGACCTCAAACCCAGGCCAGTGGATGTGCACCTCAAAGACCAGCTGTCCTATCTGCTCAACAACATCTTCCAGGATCAGGTTTTCCAAAATTTTCCACTCAGCGCTCTCCACATCTGCCTTGAGGACATCAATCTGCAACAAAAATGAAAATGAGAGGCTTTGCAATTATTGTCAGTATCCTCTGAGGCCAGGCTTGTCCGTTTTATAACATACATAATTGCCCTTATGCACAGTTCCTTTAGTGTTTAAAAAAAAAAATATTAAAAAATCTCAGAACATCCTAGGGCTAATGTGGACAGTAGGTGAAGCTTCATGCTTGCCTGTTCACAGCCCTTCTGCTGCCTCCGACTCCTGGGCTGAAAAGCTTTGTACCCCAAGGTGCCTGATGCAGCTGATCCTACAATCAAAGCATGTTATTGTTCCTTCACAAATCTTGTGGTGGCATCAAAGCTATGGAAAAAAGAAACCCACCTCATTAAAAAAAGACTCTAAGGCATTACTGTTCCTTATTTCTCCATCACAAAATCCTGCGACAGAACAAAACACACTAACAGTGATTACTTGCTCCACAGTAGAGCAGGGTCCTCGTGTGCCAGGTGCTACAGGCACCACACAAGTGCAAGAGAAGGCCAAAGTGAAATGAGTACTGTGAGCAGCTCGGGTCATCAGTTACCCACGGCCAAGCTGCTGTCTGAAGCTTTTGCAGGCATCACTACGGATGCTGAGTGAGGAGGACCAATTCAAAGGAGAATTATGCAAAGACTCTGCAGGGTTTTAAGGGCAGCTGCTCCAAAGAAAAAGGGACAGCAGGAAAGAAGCCGTGAAGTTGCTTGAAGGGACAAATGCAACTAATAAACAAGCGCCCTGTTTTAATTTTAGACCATTACTTAATTTTGTCGTTAGATATTCAGCAAACCAACTTCTCACAGCCCAACACAACTGCGGGTTGATTTTGCTTGGCAGTTAGCTGGAGGAGGGGAGTTGTACGCTTCAATAAAAAAAAAGCATTTCATCAAAATTTCGCACCTGGTTGAAAATGATGACTGCAGTAGTGCTCACAAGCTGCAGAGGGCCCGTGATTCCCAGAGCCGAACAGGGGAAACTCCCCCCCCCCCCCCCCCGGGGGCCGGGGGCGCCCTCCATGAGAGCAGGGTTTGCCTGTGTCGGTTCCACCTGAGCTGCTGCTTCTGCCCATCTGCTCACGCTCAGGATGAGTTTGAAGTGAAAACTGAAGACTTTAGAGTCAAGAATAGTAAAAAAAACAAAAACAAAAACCCAGGCTCTCTCGGCAGCCTACCCTAACCCTTGAGGCAGTGTCGGAAAAGGCACCTGTGCAGGTACAGGAGAGAAATTTGGGCAGGTGATGTAAAAGCATTGCCAAGGCAACTGCTTCCCTAAGCCGCCCCATCCCAGGACGCCTCGCTGGCATCAGGCCATGCCCCGTCCATGCGGGCTGGGGCCCTGGCTCGTGGACCCCTCTGACCAGGGGTGCAGGGCGGGGGTTGTGCTGTGAGCACCTCTCCCATACAAACAGAGCTCTGCTTCGCAGGGGCCGTAGCCAGAAACCACAGAGCCATGGCAGGGTTTGGGTGAGGTGAGCTGCCAGGACCGTGTGAGGGGCTCGTGTGGCTGCTTCTTCAACTGTGCCTTGGCTAAGGGAAATGCTGTTCGTTCCTCAATTTCACCCATAAATGCGCATAAATACCCTTCACCAGTCTAAAGCCTAGGGAGCAAGGCCAGGTCTGTAAATAACTTGGCCATCCACTTCCATAGGTACGTGCAGTTGAGAGGAGGAAGGCTGCCTCATACAGCTGTCTTGCCACACTCTTCCTCATCCCTAACCTGGGGTTAGGGACCAAAACCACAATGTCAAAAGACATTGGACAAGAAGTTTTAAGAGTTAATTAATTAATTTCAAATTTTAACCTCACATGTCAAAAATAGATGACAGTAACTGTGTAGGCTTCCTACACAGGGGCTCTCACTTCATGGCAAAGATCCCTCCAGTCCACCTGGACCTGTAGTACCTACACTGATCACACCTGGATGCCCAAAGCTCAGCAGTCTGTGGTCCCCGGTTGCCTGAGGGACAGACAGAGGCAGGCAGGGCTGGCAGCAGAGGGAAGAGACATTAAGACAAGAAGTGCAGAGGTTGAAGAGGCTGGGACCAGAGACTGATGGAGGAGTTATCCTCGGACTGGAAGTTTGGGTGAAAGACATTGGGAAAAAGGAGTATGATGGAGAGCTTGGGCAGAGATTTAAAAGGCAGGGCTGGAGGTAGTGGAGGAGGAAATTCTAGTAATGAGGTACACGCAGAGCACAGCAGCAGCAATACAGAGTGCCTTCCTTCCTCGGCTTTAAGAGGGTCTTTGAAAGAGGGCAGAAACCAATGGAAGGTGAAAAGCTTGGTGCTTCCCAACTGCAAACACATAACCCAGAGAGGGGAGACAAGAGGAGCAATGGGCCCTGGGCTGTTCTTGTTCCCAATGGGGTAAAGGCTAGGACAGTGTATGGCTACTCCCACCTATCTTACTATGACCTGGAGCTACGCCATGGGCCAGATAATGCTGCTACCAGTGGGAAAACAGAGGTCATTAGAGACAAACAGGGTGAAGCATGAGAAGGGGGCTGGCTAGGAGGGTAGGACTGAGATCTGAGGACTCTGTGCAAGACAGCTGCCATGGAGGGCTTGGTGATATCCTAGCTTCCAATGGGATGGCCACGTCTACCTTCCCTTGTTCTCTGGCTGGCTGACTGGAGGCACCAGGGTCTGATCTGCTGAGGTGCAGAGCGCTCACAACTGTTGAAGATTATCATAAGTTTTTATTGAATCTTTCTATATTTTGTGTTTGATAGTAAATAAGTGACTATAAGAACATTTTGATTAATCTTTATGTTAGCATTACGTATGTGTTGCTGTGTTACTTGTTATCTGAGGCTGTGTTGCTTGAAGTCCCTATTCTCTGGACCCTCTAGACCATAACCAGAGTCCCTAGGTTCTACTGTATACAGGATGAGTTATTTGACAACCTGGCAAGGTAGATATCTAGCTGACCAACTTTGCAACAAAACTTACTTTTAAGGTATCCTGAAGTGAACTGCCCTCATTATAATACTAAAAAACACACCCACAGGTCAAGAAGACCCTTGCCCAGGTGAAGACCCTTCCCCTGCGCAAGCGTAGTAACGGAAGAGAATGACATAACCGATATTATAATTATATGTAAATCACTAACCAATCATTGTAACCGGGAGTGTACTACCTTATAATTTCTGTGTATAAATGTAACGGTGATCTGGCCATAGGTGTGCTTGATTTGTGGAAATTCCACCTTGCACCCGGCGCCGCAATAAAGAATGCCTGCTCTCTAAAACTCCAAATTGAGTCTTAGAGAGTTCTTCATCTGCCGACTTACGGTAACACAGCCACATCAGCCCTCCTCAGGGGCTGTGCTCCAGCGCTATGGATGGGCATGGGATGGCAAGAATCGGTAGGTGTTAAACGCTTGCTGTTTCTGGTCTCCATCTGTAAAACGAGGGTATTAACCATTGAACTCCTGCTGCAGGGTGCAGAAGTTGTGTCCGTGAAGGGCTGTGAGACTTCTGTGGGAAAACTGTGTAAAACACTGCATTTTCAGAGCAGGACTTGGAGAGTGGGACTTGAATGAGGTCCATGGTCACAGACCAAATAATGACAAGCCAAGCTGCTGCCTGTCCGATCATTAAGGCAGCATTGTGCCTCCTCCGCACCGAGGGAGGCAGGGGGCCAGTGGAAAATGACCGAGGGATTATGGAATTAAAGCCCGTATTGTGGCATGTCCACATGGGGAGGGGAGAGGAAGGTTGCACGGACAACCTTAGCTCTGGTATTTCCTAACTTGACTCTGCAACAAAGAGCCTGCCAGTCTATCCGTACGTGGGTCAGTGAAACAGTTTAGCATAGCGCTCCTTTGGGTTCAAGGGGAGGCTGAATGTAAACGATGCTGCTCGTGACATTTCAGCTGAGAACTACTTCATGGTTGAGCTCACTTGTTTCCCTTTATACATTTAAATAGGTTACTTATTTTTCAGATAGCAACTCGCAGCTCTACTTGTAATGCAATTTTGTAGGTAGTTTTGATTCCACGTGGCTGCAATTGCCATAGGACTGTGCTGCCATACTTCAGAAACCACAGATTCTTATCTTTGGGAGACTTCTGTAACTTTGAAAGGAGACAAATTATTCAAAACCTTTTTTTGGGGGGGTGTGTGTATGTTTCTAAGTGTTTGCTTTTGTTTTCCCATGATTTTGCTTTATGGCAACAGTAGGACATCTTTTCCCAACAGTAATGTTTCCAGTCATCATCCAGGTTGGTTTGTTTTTCTCTCATGACGCTAACTGCTGCTCTGGCTGCTCAGGAGCCACTCCGCACGCTCTGCGCTGTATTTGCAAAATTGATCTGAAAAGTGGCTGCTAACCAATGTTTCAGTAGGATAAAATGAGTTACCACAGTAACTGCTTAAACACATACTGAAATGACCAGGGAAAAAACACAACACTAGTGGGGATGTGCTGCATGCAGAAACCAGAGGCTCTTTGTTACCTGCAGTGCCCTGCACTGCTCAGAGACCTGTCTCCCCACCAACTGTTGTGACGGCCTTCCATGCAAGGGGTCCACCTCAGCCCAGAGTCTCCATTTTATGCCACGGATAGGGTAAAATAAACGGCTCAGAGTATCTGAGCAAATAACAAGTGTCCTGCTAACACTGAACGCAAGTTTTGTGACGAGAGATCACACAGGAGATATTTACCCTCAGTGATAAGCAGCGCACTACAGGTAAGAAATGCACTACCACCTTCCAGATGCCTTGATTCAAAGTGCCAGTGAAAGGATTAGTGGACAAATCTATAAATTCAGAGCTCTAATTCACCTGGGAGTGCAGCTGGAGTCTGCTCCTGAGAGTAAATCCTGGAGGGCAAAGATCTACAGTGCCTGAAGGTAAAAGATGGCAGTCAATTGCCCGCCGGTTTCGAGTACTCACAAAGGCTGGTTCCTCTTATCTTTCACAAATCCTCTTATCTTCCACAAACTAACTAGGTTATCACAGAAAAGTAAAAAATGTGGATTTTTTAATGTTTTCTCAGTGTTTAG